TTCTTGGCAGCATCTCTCAGTTTGATGGCTCTCCTTGTTTGTCTGTTACTGTTGCGTTGAAATATAATGCTGAGGCCCACAAACTGCTCATTAGTAAACAACTCATTGTCAAAACCATCATTCTTCTGTGGAGGAAAAAAGTAAATAAAGCATATAAAATAACTAAAATACAATTAGAAAATTTTCATTATTAATTAACGATGTAAAGTAAATAAGATACAGAAACTAAAGAAAAATTTTTGCAGGTTTCATAATAATTTTACAATTGTTAAAACTTTGACAATTGCTGAACCAATTTCCTAGATACCAACTATGTCAAATATTCCTCATCCTTGAATATTTATATTATTAGTATGATAATCATAAGTGCTAAATGAATATTTATATAAAATCAGAGATTTTGAGTAATCTTATTACTGATGTGAACAGATGAGATGAAAAAGATGCAGGCACAGGATCTCAAGAGAAAGTTTTGCAAGGGCAAGAAATCCATCTGCAATTCAAAGTCTGGGATTAATGTACAATGGAATTAATGTACAGTGTACATTGATTCCACTGTACATGAAATTAATGTACAGTGGAACCTCAGTTTATGAGTGCCCCACCATACAAGTTTTTCAGGATACAAGCAGTCACTCAGTCGGTTTTTTGTTTCTGGATACGAGCAAAAATTCAGGATGCGAGCTTTTCCCTCGAGCAACTTTTTTTTTAGACCTCCAGATCTTACAAAAATAAAAGTGAATATATAATTGTAGTTCATTGTCATGATGTATTACATTGTTTTTACTGCTTAAGACTATAACTGCAACAGAAATAATAGTATTTCTTACCTTAAATTGTGGGTGCTAGTATTTATCGATGATTGTAAAGAGTGGAGAGTTATGCTGTGGCCCTACTGGGCTGAGGTGGATGGTAGAGGTTTTGGTACTGAAGTTGATGATTGTACAAGTGTGCATAAATTCTGTAATAGATTTCAGTTCTATTTTACCCTTCAGTACATTATACAACTGACGGTAAGGCATCAGCTGCTCTAGACATCATTTCAGGGTCCTCTTCAGTGAAAAAGTCTAAGTCATTCAGTAAGTCAGTCAAATCATTCAGGCAAGTCAGTCAGGCAGGCAAGTCAGCCAGTCAAGTCAGTCTGCCAGTCAAGTCAGTCAGTAAGCATGTCCAGTCTCAGTAAAGTCATTCAGTCAATCAGTCAAGTCAAGTCAGTAAGATCAAAACAATTTACAAACACAGCTAGCTTGTAGGAGAGATATGGAGCTGAACACGTATTCACGAAGCTGGGATGGTGGTGTCAGAAGTGTCAGGATGGCAGGAAGTCTCCTCCACTGACCCACAAGGTGGCCACTTGAGGTAGGGAATGACCACTACCATTGGACACAATGCCATATTTTATTTCATTCTAGAGTATATATCAGGGTTCTATGTTATTTATATTGTTTATTTATGTCGTATTAGATGAATTGTGATAAATAAATAAGCATAGAATCATACTGAAGTATTTTTGTCCTGCCTCCCAAGAGCAGGAATTCTGCTGGAATGGATTAATGGCATTTCAATTACAGAAGACCATCATTTAACAAGAGTTTATTGGCACAATTCGGGTATAGCATGATTGAAGAATTGCGGCACAATTTTATTTAGCACTTCATAAAAATTAATTTTTAACATGGTTCAGTTTGCGGGAGGGAAAAAATTTCCTTTTCCTCAAAGCAGCTGCCTTGTTGTGGATCAGCAGGGAGACCTCCCGCCATCCCCCGCCACCCCCCTACACTCCCGACACCACTATCCCAGCATTCGTACTTCATACGTGTTCAGTTAGTTCCTCTTCTCTGCTACAAGCTAGCAGTGTTTGTGAACTGTGTTTTGAGCTTTTAATTACCATATTTTGTATCTGCCAAGCAATCATAACACCCAGTAGCATTCCAGTGTTGCTGAAAGTGGCAAAAAAAGGTATAAGCATGTAAGTCTTAGAATTAAAAAGAAAAGAGATATTAGACAAGAGATAACCTGTGGCCGTAATGAGTCTCGCTTTGTGCACATAAAATGAGGTAAACATGAGTTTGTGTAATTGACTGACTTACTGAATGACTGACTGACTTACTGAATGACTGACTGACTTACTGAATGACTGACTGACTTACTGAATGACTGACTGACTTAACTGAATAACTTACTGACTTAGACTTTTTCAGTGACGAGGACCCTGAAACGGTGTCTAGAGCAGCTGATGCTTTACCGTCAACTGTACAATGTATTGCAGGGTAAAAGAGAACAGAAATCCATTACAGAATTTATGCACACTCCAGTACAACCATTGACTTCAGTACCAGAATCTCTACCATCCACCTCAGCCCAGTAGGGCCACAGCATAACTCCACAATCATCCACAAACACCAGCACCCACAATTTAAGGTAAGAAATACTATTATTTCTGCTGCATTTGTAATCTAATGCAGTAAAAACAACATAATACATCACGACAATGAGCTACAATTACATATTCGCTTATTTTTTTGTAAAATGTGGAGGCCTAAAAAAATTTGTTTGGCTTTTTTGGGGCTCCCAGGAACATAACCCTATTTTTCCCCCAAGTTCTTCAGTTCACCTCACACGGTTTTACTTAACACAGCATTTTCAGGAACATAACTACCGTGTTAACCCATAAACGGTCCAAACGTATACGTATATACGTTCACTACCCCAGTGCCCCGAATATTTTGGAAAATAAAAAAATCCTTCCCTTTTTTTTATGGAAATAAAGAGAACATTTTTCTAAGTGTTATAGGAGTAGTAGTAATAGTAGTAGTAGTAATAGTAATAGTGGTGATGGTAGTAGTAATAGTGGTGGTGGTAGTAGTAATAGTGGTGGTGGTGGTGGTAGTAGTAGTGGTTGTGGTAGTAGTGGTTGTGGTAGTAGTAGTAGTAGTAGTAGTGGTTGTGGTAGTAGTAGTGGTTGTGGTAGTAGTAGTGGTTGTGGTATTTGTAGGGGGGTTTGTAGTAGTGGTTGTGGTAGGGAGTAGTGGTTGTGGTAGTAGTAGTGGTTGTGGTAGTAATAGTAGTAGTGGTTGTGGTAGTATAGTATGGTGGTAGTAGTAGTATTAGTATTAGTAGTATTAATAGTGGTGATGGTGGTAGTGGTAGTAGTGGTAGTAGTAGGGTAGTAGTAGTTTGTATAGTAGTAGTAGTAGTAGTAGTAGTAGTAGTAGTATAGTAGTAGTAGTATAGTAGTAGTATATGTAGTAGTATAGAGTGAGCTAGATCGTTAGTTAGTATGGTATACAATAATGTACGTATGAAAGTCCCGGGAGTATCTGTTATCCGTATAGTCTGTTAGAGAGAGAGTGTTAGTACATAGTTGTATGTTTTATATGTTAAGTAGTAGTATAGATTTGTTGGTCTTTGGGTTTCCCAGCACGTATTGTTTTACCTGTACAAGAAACAAAAAGACGAGACAGACAAAGTCCAGGACAAACTGACTATCCGCAGCTCTGTCCCAGAAAGGCCAGCAGAGCTGCGAACATAATTCATTGATTGTTTCTTTACTTCAAGGCAGTTATAGCACTTTGTTTGGATTTTTGGGTTATCCTAGGTTATTTTACACTATGTTCTACCTGTATTATGTGTACCTGTGAGACAGAGATAGAACAGATAGAGACAGACAGACAAAGATACAGAATTAGATACAGACAGAAAACGAGATAGAGACAGGCTGCCAGCAGCCGGTCAGCCACGCACTGGCCAGTCAGACCACTGCTGACAAAGGAAATTACATTCCAGAATTGTTTCTCTTTACTTAGGGCTTATGTTATAAGACATTCTGAAAGGGTGTTGCACAAATATTGCACATGGGTTATTATTGAGGTTTTTTGATATTTCCTCGACCACTTATGGCCACATCCACCTCAAAGCCACTAAACTCGGGGTCAAAATCACTTTCCTCTTAAAATGGGAGAATTAATACTACATGAAATCAGTGAATCCCAGGTTTTTTGCCACTCTGTTTGCTCTAGCTGGCACTCATTTGAACTGGTGCTCCCACAAGGTACTAAGTGGTCCCATTTTTTTTTAATACAGTGCACACTGAGTGTTAAGACCCATTCTATGCTGACAAGGCATCTCAGGCCAATCGTGTCAAATCTGAAGACAAGAAAAATAAAACGTATATATACTTTGGGGCACTAGCAGTAAGAACGTATATATTTCGTTTGGACCATTTATGGGTTAAATGACAGTCTTCTGTAATTTAAATGAGGATGATTCAGCATACAAGCAGATCGGGATACGAGCAAGGTCACAGAACAGAATAAACTTGTAAGCCAAGGTTCCACTGTACCCACAAGGAAAAACGAGTTTCTCCTTTTACATTTAGTAATATATACAGGAGAAGGGGTTACCAGCCCTTTGCTCCTTGCATTTTAGTCGCCTCTTATGGCACGCATGGCTTATGGAGGAAGAATTCTGTCCGCTTTCCCCTGGAGATAAGGGGAAATAACAGAGAAGTAGCAAAGACAAACAGAAGAAAACCCAGAAGGGTGTGTATATATATATACTACTTGTACATGCATGTGTAGTGTGATCTAAATGTAAGGAATAGTAGCAAGACGTACCTGAAATCTTGCATGTTTATGAGACAGAAAAAAGACACCAGCAATCCTACCATCATGTAAAATAATGTACCTTAGATGAACAATAAAATATACAGGTAAGACAAAAACAAAATTCAGATTTACTGTAGTAACTTTAGGCTTACTTGCAAAAATGAGTATTGGGATGGGGTGTCCTTCGCCACTCTTTTGCATTCATATTAAACAGCAAAGAAGAACATATCACACTCCAGTTTGCAACAGGTGGATGTAAAAGTGAGATAGGTAACGTAATAAAAGCTCCAATCATAGCCCACTTTAGCTGCCCTTGTTCATGACCAATATTGCCTATGGTCCACACAGCTGTTAATCAAAATAAAATTAATAAAAATATAACTCTTATATTAACAAAACATTAACAAAGTGCAGTAAACCCCTACAACACACAATGCAATTTTGTTGCAATGAGTTTCAAAGGTGGAAGCAAAAATTTTTTTATAGTAACTGAAAAATCTAAATCTAAAAAAAAAAAAATTAAGTAAACAACAGCTGTATAAAAAGTCTGACGAAAATATTCAGTGTGTATTAACATCAAGCATTCACAAAAGTTCAGTATCATGTATAATTATAAATACACTGTAATTTAACATACTTGTGCCTTTTAACATGATGTATTTATTCTAGCTGTGTGACTATAATTGTTTAATATGACAAGTGATATTAACCTGTCATAAAATGTTAAGCGAAAAAGTTGTATAGTCGAGGTACTGTATCTTCACCGAGAAGCCATTACAAAAACTGCCTGCCAAGCACACTGCAGATTCAAGAGATTCCCCACACATGATAGGTAAGACAAGGTAGTTTCATAAAATGAGGAAAAATGTATGGGCTTATATTCTATCAGCTGCCGCCCCTGTTCACTCATACTGTATTACGGTATCAACATAGTAGTAATATTCTGATTGAGGAGGCAGAAGCGCACCAATTCCCTGCAAACTCTGGCTTTGCCTCGGTCACAGCATGTGTGGTGTAGACTATTTTCAACTCCAATAAACATGATATCAGCCCCTTATGCAAAGAACATCTGAAATAAAACTAAAACCATTCAAGATATAGCTTTAACACGATGTAATCTGCAATCTTACAATATTGCGGGGAGCCAAAGCCCAAGTTGGCAGCACATTTCTCAGACAGCCTCCCACACCAGTTTATTGCAAAATTACTATACTATACCACATTTTGTCTTAGCTATTACTTTTTCAAACAGTACATTCATTCTTAAAATGGCATCGTATATGCTAGTTTGGATAGATGTGGGGGAATTCCTGCTTATCTGATACAGTTTGGTAAGGAAATGTGGCTTCAATTATGGCCATATTGACCTGTACTGTGCATATGTCAACTGATTAACCTTGGCTACATCCAACTACATCAAAGTGTAGTATCTGTTGAACAAATAAATGAGTAAGAAAAGTTGGATTGGAGATGGACCTGATTAGCATTGGCTGGTAAGCCTACTTCAGTGCTCCATCATTCTCATGTTATGTACTCTGTTATTCTGATTATTTTTACATAATTTTGGGGGGGTTTAGTATGTGCTCATAAGATGCAGTATATAACTCTTGGCATAAATATTTTGGAAAAAATGTGACTTATGACTGGTAATATACAGTATTTATAAGAAAAGTCATCTAACTTTTTGGAGGTGGCAGAGAATGTAACCTAATTTTTTCAACAAGCTGTTCACTCCAAATATTGAGTTTTCACACATAGCTCCAATTTTCTGGAACGTATCTTAACGAAAGGTAGTTGTTTACTATACATGCAAAATCTGAATAGGTATAAGTCAACTCTGTTGAGTACAGTAAATTAGTGGTTTGTAGAGGTACTCTTTCATCAAGAGCAAGATGGTCTATGCACCTATTCATTTACTGAACAGACCGGAGAGTGCTTAGCATGACTGGCCAATCAATGTACCACATCTTTATGCAAAAGTAATACAAAATTCTAGTCTTAAAGAGGAAGAAATGTACAATCAAAACCCAGGCAGGCAATGCCATATACTCTCAATAAGGTGCTTGAAGATCATTTCAAGCACCTGCTTTACCCTTTCAGGGTCCATGCTGTAGTTCTACACCATGAGCTCAGCTCACTCAGATAAGCTGTGAGCGGTAAATTTGGGACTAGATATGATAGAATACATCTATGTGTTAAGTGTGCACTACATAAAACAAAATACTGCAGCACACAGTGCATGAGAGAAAAAAAAAACAGAGACCGTAATTTTCGATCAAAGCAGCGACTTTGGGGTGTTTTATCGTAGGATTTTTTATAGCAGTATTTGCGATTTCTTGGTCCCCTTTTAAGAACATAAGAAAGAAGGAACACTGCATCAGGCCTACTGACCCCATGCGAAGCAGGTCTATGCCATCCCCCAGCCTAGAACAATGACCACCTAGGCAGGTCCCTTCCACTTAAGGAAGGAGCATGGCGCCAGACCTAGTAGCCCAAGCTAGTCAGGTCCAACTCACACCCACCCACACCCACTCATGTATTTATCCAACCTATTTTTAAAACTACACAACGTCTTAGTGTCTATGACGGTACTCGGGAGTTTGTTCCACTCATCCATAACTATTACCAAACCAGAGCTTTCCTATATCCTTCTTGAATCTGAACTTTTTCCAACTTAAAGCCATTGCTGCGAGTCCTGTCTTGACTGGATATTTTCAGCACGCTATTTACATCCCCTTTATTTATTCCTGTTTTCCATTTATACACCTCAATCATATCCCCCTAATTCTATGCCTTTCTAGAGAGTGCAGATTCAGGGCTGAGGCTCAGTCTATCCTCATAGTGAAGATTTCTGATACATGGGATCAACTTTGTCATCCTCCTCTGTACGTTTTCCAGTGCATTTATATCCATTCTATAATATGGTGACCAGAACTATGCAGCATAATCTAAATGAGGCCTAACCAAGGATATATAGAGTTGAAGAACAACCTGAGGACTTCTATTATTTATACTTCTTGATAAGAATTCAAGGATTTTGTTAGCTTTATTGAACACTTATGCACTGTTGTCTTGGTTTCAGATTACTGCTAACCAGAACTCCTAAATCCTTTTTGCAATCAGTACTATTAAGATCTACACTATTCAGTTTATAAGTGGCATGGTTATTGTGTTGTCCAACATTTAGCACTTTGCATTTGTCTATGTTAAACTGCATCTGCCACTTCTTTGACCACTACATCAGTCTATTCAAATCATCCTGGAGTGCACTAATGTCCTTAATAGAATGAATTGGAGGGCCTATTTTGGTGTCATCAGCAAATTTGCTTATGTCGCTATTTATTCCCTCATCTATATCGTTTATGTAAACTGTGAACAACAAGGGCCCAACACTGACCCCTGTGGAACACCGCTTGTGACGTGCCCCCATTCTGATTTCTCCCCTTTGCTGCCTATTTGTCAACCATGCCTCTACCCAGGGAAAAATTTCTCCTCCCATTCTGTGTGCCTTAAGTTTCCCTCAAAAGTCTCTGATGTGGAACTCTATTGAAAGCCTTACTGAAGTCCATATACACAATATCATATTCATTACCATGATCTACCTCCTCGAACACCTTAGCAAAAAAGGTTAGTAAATTCGTAAGACAGGAACGCCCCTTAGTAAAACAGTGTTGAGATTCATTTATCAATTTATGCCTATCAAGAAGGCTACAAATTGTCTTGGCAATTATTGATTCCATAAATTTTTCCCACTATGGAGGTAAGGCTTATTGGTCTATAGTTTGAAGCTAAGGACCTGTCACCTGCCTTGTAAATAGGTATTACATTTGCCATCTTCCACTTATCAGGCACTATGCCAGTTTGTAGTGATATGTTGAAAAGATTTGCCAAAGGTTTGTAAAATTCCTCTTTACATTCCTTTAAAACCCTTGCAAACAATTCATCAGGGCCTGGGGATTTGTTAGGTTTTAATTTCTCTATTTATCTGAGGACCATGTCACTAGTTACTGCAATCATGCATAGTTTATTATCGCCGTTCCACAATTTATTATTTCTGGAATTTTGCTAGTATCTTCCTGAGTAAAGACTGAGAGGAAGTAAGAATTGAAAATTTCACACATATCCCTATCCCTGTCAGTGATCTGACCTGAGCTACTCTTAAGTGAGCCTATCTTGTCTCTAATCTCACTTTTGTATACCTGAAAGAACCCTTTTGGGCTAGTATTCGAATCCCTTGCGACCTTATCCCTTTTTGCTTTTTTTATTCCTTTTTATATTTCTCTCTTTAACTGAATATATTGATTTCTTAACTGCCCTTCCCCTCTTTTGATATGCTATAAAATGTCTCTCTTTTGACCTATGAGATGTTTTTATTCTATGTTTCATCTATCTGGGATCATTTTTGTTAGATCTAATTTCCCTACTCAGAACAAAAGTTGACTGAGAAGCTAGAACTATGCTCTGAAAAATGTCATATTGGCAACCAACACCAGCTAATTGACCCTTAGTCAGCACATCCCAATTTAGCCCTCCCAGGCCCATTTTTCCCGTCCCAGGAAATCAGCCAATCAAAAGTCTGGGACAGAGACTTGATTGTAGTTTTTCTAGTAATTCCATAATATATTGAAACTAAGTGATTTGTGATCACTTTCCCCAAGCTCATCATTAACCTCAAGATTATTAATTTGTGAATCTTTGTTGGCAAGAACCAAGTCAAGCAGATTGTTTCCTCTAGTTGGTTCTGTCACAAACTGTTTAAAAAGCAATCCTGAACTGTATCAAGAAAGTCACTAGGCTCAAGATTTCCTGTCAAATTGTTCCAATCAATTTGTCTAAAGTTAAAATCCCCCATTTTCATATGTAGATGCACTCCCTTTTGATAGAATGGAAGATATATTACAGAAATAGATATGATTTTGATTGGTTTAGTACTGAAAATGGCTTGAAACCAAGTTCAAAATAGCAGAAATGTTTTTTGCCAAAGTTCAAGAGTAAACAAATCACATCACTCATCCAATAGATACCAGCTGGTGGGTCTTATGTGCGTTCACAAATGCGCTGATGTTATTTATCAATTATTACAATATTGCATAACAGTAAATCTCCATTTTTTGGTTTGAATAAAAATTCATTATGTGAATAAAATCAAATGGAATTCATTTGTAAAGCCTGAAAACATAACTAATGAACAAAGGAAATGTTAGTTTAGTGCCAGAAATGTCTGCAATGTTTATTCTGGACCCTATTTTGAAATAGGAATATTTTGAACTTTGTGTTAAATTGGCCAAATTACCAGTTTCTGATCACTTTTATTGGGTAGTTTTAAACAGTTGATTTGGGATTTCTTG